GGTTGTGATGACGATGATCCTGAAGATGATGATGATGCTTAGGGAGACCAGGAGGAGGATAGTGAGGATGAACATGATAGGGAGGATTAGGATGCTAATGCTCATGATTATGCAGATCAGTATGATGATGCAGCAGAGGACGATGATGATGATGCTGCTGATGATGCTGATGATGATGATGATACTGATGACGAACATGAGGATGATGCTGCTGCTGCTGATGATACTGTTTTAGATTTTGATTCTGATTCTGATTCTCATGCTGCTGCTGATGCTGATGATGATGATGGTGATGGTGATGGTGATTGTGGTGTTGATGATGATGAAGACTATGATGGTGATGCTGCCGTTGCTGCTTCTGATGATGACGACGATGATGACGATGCTGCTGCTGATGATGCTGCTGATGAGGATGAGGACGAGGATGAGGATGAGGATGAGGAGGATGAGGAGGAGGAGGAGGAGGAGGAGGAGGAGGAGGAGGAGGAGGATGATGATGATGATGATGATGATGATGATGATGATGATGTTGATGACGCTGATGGTAATGGTCATGGTCATGGTCATGGTCATGCTGATGAGGATGGTGGTGGCGATGATGGTGTTGATGATGTGATGGTGCAGAACACAACATGTTTGAAGAAGCAGCCGTGCGAGACGCAGTAGTTATCGGGGGTGGCTGGGGGGGTGATGATCCGTGGGTGTTTTGGCTTGAGACCACAGCGATCAAGCACTGCTGCTAGCTGGGGGATAGGTGCGTGCCCTCGTCTCGCGCTCCTCGCCGGCGGCAGCGCTGGCTACATCGCATTGTGCCTGGGCGAGCTCCAGGTCGTCGTGAAAGGGCCCACTGTTGTCCCATGCGGCCGGCACGGGGCCCCCAGTTGGGGGTTGGCCGCGGCGGCCGCTTCAGGAGCCCTGCAGCCGCTGATGTTGGGGGTCGGCTGTGAGGTGTATAGGTTTAAGTCGGGCTTGTCCCCCTACAGGGGGATTTTTGACGAAAAATACAAATTATCCCGGCAAAGCAACCTAACAGCGATGTGTAGAAGCATAGCTGGAAACACTGCCTGTGGTATTCATGTAAGAGTGCTGTTGTAGAATTCTGGTGTTCTCGCAGTCGCATTCGGATTCGCAGTGGCAGTCGCAGTGGCAACATCAGCGGCAGTCGCAGTGGCACTGCCAGTAGTTGCTGTAGCAATAGCTACACTAGCAGCAGCAACAGCAGCAGCAGCAGTAATAGTAACAGTAGTAGTAGCAGTAGAAGTAGTAGTGATGGTAGTAGTGGTAGCAGTGAAGTAGTAGTTGTAGTGTGTGGAGTGAACGAGTAGGAGTGATGGGAGCAGTGGTAGTAGCAGTAGAAACACTGCTTTCGATAACGGTATCTCCACATGAGATCTTTGTATAAATGCATTAAGGTCTAAACAAGACACTGCTATCAACGGATGTGATTCCAAACGAGACGCTGCTATCAACGGGTTGCTTTTGCACGCGAAGAACACGAGGTGACCTACAGTTGGCTCCGGGCATTCAAAATGTTTTCCGGGGGTGGAATTCTGTGAATACGAAGAGCACGAAGTGGCTCACAGTTAGCTCTGGGCATGCAGAATGTGGCCCGGGAGTGGCGTTGTGGGAACTCGAAGAGCACGAAGTGGCGTACAGTTGGCTCCGGGCATTCAAAATGTGGCCCGGGAGTGGAGTTCTGGGAAGGGGAAGAGCACGAAGTGGCTTAGAGTTGGCTCCAGGCATTCAAAATGTGGCCCTGGAATGGTGTTCTGGGAAGTCCAAGAGCATGAAGTGGCTTCCAGTTGGTTCCGGGCATCCAGAATGTGGCCCGGGAGTGGAGTTCTGGGAAGTCGAAGAGCACGACGTGGCCTACAGTTGGTTCCGGGCATTCAAAATGTGGGCCGGGAGTGGAGTTCTGGGAAGTCGAAGAGCACGAAGTGGCTTACAGTTGGCTTCGGGCATTCAAAATGTGGCCGGGAATGGAGTTTTGGGAGGTCGAAGAGCACGAAGTGTGTGACTGCTTGCTTAAAACGAGCCCGGCCCTCGCCTGTCCGGCTCCCGCCCGGACCCCGCTGGGGAGTCATCAGATGTTCTCTTTTGGCCCCATTAGAAACCTATCAGTCTTCGCTGTTAGGTAACAAATCAAACAACAAGCAAGCAAACAAACAAACAAACAAATGAACAAGCAAACAAACAAACATACAATGAAGGGAGAAAGGGGAGGGAGGAAAGAGTAAGGAGCCTCCCTCGTCCTGCTCCTCCTGCTCCTCCTGTTCCTCCTGCTCCTCCTACTACTGCTACAACAAGTATTAGATTCTGGCGGAAACGTCCAGTGCACGATGACGCCTGGGTCCGCCGTCTCGCCCTGCACGATGACGAACAGAACACACCGGCAATCGGGTGGCGAAAGATATGACGGGGACATCCAGTAAGCAAAATGTGGCCCGAAGAACACGAAGTGGCCTACAGTTGGCTCCGGGCATTCAAAGAGTTTTGGGAAGTCGAAGAGCACGAAGTGGCCTAGCGTTGGCTCCGAGCATCAAAAATGTGGCCCGGGAATGGAGTTCTGGGAAGTCGAAGAGCACGAAGTGGCCTACAGTTGGGTCCGGGCATCCCAAATGTCGCCCAGGAGTGGAGATCTGGGAAGTCGAAGAGCACGAAGTGGCCTACAGTTGGCTCCGAGCATCCAAAATGTCGCCCGGGAGTGGAGTTCTGGGAAGTCGAAGAGCACGAAGTGGCTTACAGTTGGCTCCGAGCAGCAAAAATGTGGCCCAGGAGTGGAGTTCTGGGAAGTCGTAGAGCACGAAGTGGCTTACAGTTGGTTTCGGGCATTCAAAATGTGGCCCGGGAGTGGAGTTCTGGGAGGTCGAAGAGCACGAAGTGTGTGACTGTTTGTTTAAAACGAGCCCGGCCCTGAGCCCGGCCCTCGCTGTCCGGATGCCGCCCAGACCTCCCTTCTAAGTCATCAGATGCTCTCTTTTGACACCACTAGAAACCTATCAGTCTTCGCTGTTAGGTAATACCCCTAAAATATTCCAAAAAGATTAAACAATACAAAAAAATAGTCCCCAGAATTAAGAATAGGTCCACTGAGGGCCAAGCTCCGGAGCCCTGCGACCGCTGAGGTCGGGGCCGAGCGGTGGGGTGCACGGGCCCGCTGAGGGCCGGTGCCCGCCTGGTGGGTCCCAGACTTTGGATGCCTTCGGGCCGGAGCGCTGGCAGGTGGAGGGGGAAGCGGGTTGGGCGCCTGTGGGCGGATCCCGATTTTCGATCCCTTTCATTCGGGCAAGCATCGAACGACTTGGTCCGGTCGGTCAGCATGGTTTCGAGCATCGCCCGCTCTCTCTTTTTTTGCGTTGCCAGGGTGGGCGATGTGGGTCCACGTAGTTTGGCTCTTCCCCCGAGGGCCCTTCGGCTACCGCGTGGACGCGATGGTCTCCTTGGGCGTGCTGCCGTCGCTCGAGGGGCCGTGGGGCCGTGATAAGACATTGAAGCGACACGCGCCTGGTCAGGCCCTGGAGCAGGAGGCGCTCAGTGGCGTGCTCACGCAGCTCGGCGGCGCCGAGCCTGCCCCGATGCCCCTCTCGGCGGCGCTGCCGCCGTCGCTCGAGGCTGTGGGGGCCGTGGACGGAGAGTGAGGCGGCACGCGCCTGGGCAGGTCTGGAGCAGGGCGGGCGTCCTCGCGCAGCTCGGCGGCGCCGAGCCCACCTCGATGCCCGCCTTGGCGGGGCGCGGCCGCCGCACGGTGTGCGCGGCCCGGCCGTCGGAGGGGCCCGCCTCGGCGGGGAGGGCGGGGATGAGGGCGACCGTGCACGGTCATCCACCGCGGGCACGCTAAGGGCGATGTTTACCAGCCTCGAACGTATCCCTATCCCTAAGACTGACACGCCAGAAGGCGATGACAATCTTAGGGATTCGCCCTCAAAAAATAAGGGAATCCCTAAGATTGGCATCGTTATGAGGAGGTGCCCAGCATAGGGATAGGGATATGTTCCAGGCTGGTAAGATGTAGGAAACAGCGATGTGGGCTTCGATGTTGCAGGCGGGGGTGGTTCGTGGACAACCCAGGTGTAGGAAAGCTTTGTTCGCGTTTTCCTGCAATTCGCCGTTCCTTTGTCGCCTGATACACTCGCGTTTTTGAGACGTAGGAGAGGGTGGCCCGTGATTTCCTGCAATTTGCTCTGCGCGAGCTTGGCGCCGCAAGAGCCACGTGCCATATTCCCACCATCGCCGTTGACCAACATCGCCGTTAGCGTGGCCTTGGATCCGGAAAGCCTCGTTCTATCTCTTCTTCAATGTGCTCCTTCGGAGTTTCGCCATGAGCCTCGCTCCTGGCGATGAGGTCGGGCGAAGAGAACTATGCACATGCACCGATCTTGGCTTGGCTCATCCTGTGCTCAGGATCGGTGCATGCGCTTTTCTGGTTAAGGTAGGATGGCGTATGCACTTATCCTGGGCTCAGGGTGGGCCTGACCAAAATCGGTGCACGTGCATATTTCTCTTTCTTCTGTGAGGAGGCGCGTCAGCCGCAGGTGGCGGCAGGGAGTGCGGCGGTCTCTGGTGCGGCGTCCGCGTCTCTCTCGGCAGCTTGGAGGCGAGGGCGGCGTCCAGCCCACCTCGAATGCCGTGGCCACCCTCCAGGAGGAGTGCAGCCGCTTGTCGGCGAGAGTGGGAGAGATTGTGGAAGAGTGCGCTGCGAAGCTGGCCGCCGACGGCATCTTGGTCACTGAGTTCACTTCCACTGTGAAGGCCAGGTGTACCTGGCCTCGGATCCCTGCGTTGCCTTCTGCGGCTGATGGCACTGAGGCGGCAGCCAGGCTGGGTTGACGAACTGCTCTCGGGAGCCTGGCGACCTGTGCGAGCACTGCGCACAACGGGCGCCCCCTTCGGCGGAGTTGGGGGCATGGGCTGGGCTGGTGGGGTGCTCCCCTCCGGCCGCCTCGGGTCCGCCCGGAGATTCGGAGCAGGACGCTCCCCCTCCAGGTGGGTTGATGACCAGGAGGCCGGTGCCACGCCAGTGGTGATCCGTCGCCAACGAAGGGATGGACGATGTGGGTCCGATGGGAAGAATAACGCAGCGATGTTGTCGCAGAACACAGACTGTTCGAAGGGACGGCAGTGCGAAAAGCTGCGCAGTCGACCCGCATAGTTCGGATGAGCGAATTTCCAAGGTTATCCTTGCATCCTTGCCCTTCGGCCCATCTTTAGCCGCTTTCGCTGGCCGCGCCCCGCTCGAAAGGTGTCGGCATGGCCTTCCAGGGCCCTTTCATCCTTATCGCGCATCTTTACTATACGGGTTGACTGTGTATACCCTTCTGGGCCTGGGCCGGAGCGATAGGGTGCTGCCTTCTGGCCGCCGCGGGTCCGCCCAGAAATTCGGGCCAGGACGGTTCCCCTCAAGATGGGGTGCCGCTCCGGCGGTGCTTTGTGGCCATCGACCGGGATGGGGTGTGTGGGCCCGATTGGAAAGAATAGCGCAGCGACGTCGTCAATATGGCGATGGTGATGATGGTGGTGCTGATGGTGACGATGACGATGATTCTGATGAGTATGATGGTGGTGGGGGTGATGATTATGATGATGGTGATGATGATGGTGGTGGTAATGATGATGAAGACAATACTGATGACGACGACGATGGCGACGACGACGATGCCGACGACGAGGTTGATGATGATGGCGATTGTGATGTTCATGGTGATTGTGATGGTGATGATGATGGTGATTGCGTCGACGGCGAATCTTAAGAAGAGTATGATGATGATGACGATGATGATGATGATGATGATGATGTGATGATGCTGCTGATGATGCTGATTTTGATACTGATGATGATGCTGATGATGATGATGTTGTCGATGATGATGATGGTGGTGATGATGATGATCATGATGGTGATGCGGATGGTGACGGTAATGGTGGTGATGGCGGCGATGAAGATGAGGAAGTTGTTGATGTCGATGATGTTGGTGGTGGTGGCGATCATGAAGATGAGGTTGGTGTTGTTGTGGCTGTTGGTGTTGTTGTTGCTCTTGTTCAGGGTGATGAGGAATATGCTGCTGCTGATGATGCTGATGCTGATGATTATGCTGATGATGATATTGATGATGATGCAGTTGTTGATGACGAGGATGATGATGCTGATAATGCTGATTCTGATGATGTTGATGATGCTGATGATGCTGATTATGATTATTATTATGGTGATACTGATGATGCTGCTTGTGATGATGATGATGCTGCAGATGATGTTCATGATGCTGCTGCTGATGATGATGATTAGGATGATGATGATGAGGATGAGGATGCGGATGACGAGGATGGTGCATTGCAGGAGGAGTGTGGTTGTCACCGCGACGGCAACGAGGACGACGAGGACGACCCACGGCGACCCACGACAGCGGCGCGGTCCGAGATTTGGTTCAAGGCGGGCCTTCCGCGAACGGCGGATCTGCTCGGAGGCCTGCCTCCCTCCCTCTCTCGTTACCTTCTCTTCACTCGTCCTCGTCGTCCTCGTCGTCGTCGTCCTCCTCCTCCTGCTCCTGCTCCCTCTCCTCCTCCTCCTCCTCTCCTCCTCCTCCTCCTCCTCCTCCTCCTCCTCCTCCTCCTCCTCCTCCTCCTCCTCCTCCTCCTCCTCCTCCTCCTCCTCCTCCTCCCCCTCCCCCTCCTCCTGGTTCCTGGTTCCTGGAAGCTGCATGGTCGTGCTGACGAAGCCTCCCGCCCTCCTCCTCCTCCTCCTCCTCCTCTTCCTCCTCTTCCTCCTCCTCCTCCTCCATCTGTAGGGGACCGACGCCGACGCCCACGCCGACGTCGACGCGGCGCGATACCTGCCAGGAGCAGGAGAAGGATACGTCTCCTCCTAGCAGGTCTTCTCCTCCTCTGGCTGCCTCCACCCTCGCTTCCACCTCCCTCCCTCCGTCCTCCTCCGTCCTCCTTCCTCCCTCCTCTTCGGCCCTCCCTCCCCCTCTCCCTCCCATCTTCCGTCCTCTTTCTCCTCTTTTGCCTCGTTCTCCTCCTCCTCCTCCTCCTCCTCCTCCTCCTCCTCCTCCTCTGCTCGCCTCCTCCCTCTTCCTCCCTCGCCCCACGACGGACGACCGACGACAGAGGACCGACGACTGCACGACCCGCCGCGGGGACTTCGATTCGCGCGGCCCGAGGTCGGGCGATCCACTGCTCTTCGAGCGGGAGTGCCTCCAGTTGGACATCCGGTCGAAGGAGGCGCAGGCGCGGACCGCCAGCGCCACCGGGGCCAGCGCGGCGGGGCAAGATTGCCCCAGGATGGCTGCGATCTATGACCCCGAGACGACCCCAATATGGCCCCAATTGGATCCCAAAGTGACCCCAAGGTGACTCCGACATGTCCGCACTGGGCCCCCGGTGTGACCGCAGTGTGGCCGCACGACGGCCCCATGATGACCTCGTCGACGCGGTGGCAGCCCCGGCGCGAGCGTTCAAGGTTGAACGCCACCGGTGGCCTGGAGTCGGCCAGTATCGAACGAGCGGTGCCCTCGGAAGTCACGAGCGAAAGAAGGACGTACACCTACACGAATCCACCTTGGTTTCGAAAGCACGCACTGCGCGAGCGTTCGTATCACGAGGCTGGTCTCGTGGAGTGGGGGGCCGTGTTCATGTGCGTGGTTGGGCGCGTACGTCCTTGGTGGCTCCTTGGGAAGGCCGCGATCGTTCAGGATTGAACGATCCGCGCGGTGTCAGAGGCCAGCGCGCAAGCCGCCACGGCAGGAACCGGCCCCGCACCCAGGGGCTGGTGCTTCGTGGCGGCGTTGGGGCCTCTTGGGGGGCGTCTGGCGAGCCTCCTGAAAGGCCTCGTGATGGCCCCCTGGGGCCTACTGGGGGCCTCCCACCCTTGGAATGGCCAACTGCGACGCAGAGACCTGGGCCTGACCACCCATCCAGCGCATATGGCACAAGCTACTGCCTCATGGCGATGCTCATGCGCGCGCTAATGTGGGTTCCTGCCCCCTCTCTGGGGCCCTTCCTGGGGTCTTCTTGGGGCCCTCTAGGGCCGTGTTGGCTTAGGGTCGTCGTGGGTCCTCTTGGGGGCTGTTGACGCGGTCTCAGGGGCCTCTTGGGCCATCATGGGGCGATCTTGGGGGCCTCTTGGGCCGTCGTGGAGCGTCGGAAGCGCGAAACGGAGAGAACGCGACACTCCTTCAAACACTGAAGGCGCATCAATAACTTCTTGCCTCTGGGGGCCCTCCTGCGGGTCCTCCTGGAGCCTTCCTCGGGCGTCTTTGTGGCCTCCTGGGCCATCCTGGCCCACCTCGGAGGCGCCTTGGTCCGAGGGGGCAGCTGGGCCCGCCCAGATCCGTCCTGGAGCCGTGTGGGGCCGCCGGGAAGCCTCCCGAGGGATGGGGGGTACCACCGTCCTTCTGCGCTCTGCGCCCCCCTCGGGACCTTCTTCAAGTTTCGGGTGTGGGCAGACCTCCTACCCTGACACGTCGATTAAGGAATTGGCCGTTTTCGGTTCGCGAGAGGGCATCGCGGCCGTCATTTTTGCGGGTCCAGGTCCGTCGGTTTCTGTCCCAGGCCGTTTTCACTAAGGGGAGGTCTACTAAAGGGAGGTTTGTCCACCGCCGAAAGTTATCCTTTTCTGACTCATTGTGTTGCCGATCGGCAAGGGGCCCTCGCACCCCGTGTCTGATCGGCCTACTCCGGCCATAGCCAGCCCTTCATTCTGCCGACAGTGCCGTTTTTAATACATGCTCCGCGTGCGGATCATGTACTAACAATGCAGGGACTTAGCATTAAAAAGAACGAAACAACAAAATTCGATGTATTAAAAACTGCCCTGTACCTGGTCTCAGGTCCGTCGGTTTCGGTCCCAGGCCGTTTTCACTAAGGGGAGGTCTACTAAAGGGAGGTTTGTCCACCGCCGAAAGTTATCCTTTTCGGACTCATTGTGTTGCCGATCGGCAAGGGGCCCTCGCACCCCTGGTCTGATTGGCCTACTCCGGCCATAGCAAGCCCTTCATTCTGCCTACAGTGCCGTTTTTAATACATGCTCCGCGTGCGGATCACGTATTCAGAATGCAGGGACTTAGCATAAAAAACAGCGGTGAGCTCATGCATACAATTCCTTCATACATTAATCATGTATTGAAACTCCGATGTTTTGAAAACTCCTATGTATTAAAAACTGCCCTGTATGCCCTGGTGCTTCACACGCGAACGAAACTCTCGAGCCCAAGCCGAAGCAGCCAGACGCAAGGGTGCGCCAGAGAGGGCCAGCTTCGGTTTTTGTCAGTGCCTGATCTTCATCCGATTTTTTTCAAATACATAGGATTTTTTGTTTTAAAAAAACAAAAAACAGCCGAGGTTTTAAAACATCCTATGTAGTAAAAACTGCCCTGTACCTGGTCTCCAGCCTGCCAACCTCAATTTCGCCAATGTCGTCGGGAGCCCAGCACGGCCGGGGCCCGCGGGCGGCCCGCCGTGGCGAGCCCGCAGGGCGGGGAGCCGTGGCGGACCTCCCCGGGGGGCAGCGGGCACGCGAGCCTCGCGAGCAGCAGACGTTCGGGGGTGCGTGGGGAAAAAAAAGCCACACAGCAACACACACACTGTGGGGAAACAAACACACAGTGTGTGGGGAAACAACACACAGTGTGTGGGGAAAAGAGACACACACAGTGTGTGTGTGTGTGTTTTTCCCCACTGTGTGTGTGCTTTCCCCACAGTGTGTGTTTGTTTGTTTGTTTGTTTGTTTGTTTGTTTGTTTGTTTGTTTGTTTGTTTGTTTGTTTGTTTGTTTGTTTGTTTGTGTGTGTGTGTGTGTTTTCCCCACGTGTGTGTGTGTGTGTGTGTGTGTTTGTGTGTGTGTTTTTTCCCCACAGTGTGTGTTTTTCCCCCTTTGACGAGGCTCTGTGCCAGTCGTTGCCATTTTGCTCTTCGGGTCATCTTGTCTTCCCTTGGGGTGTCGGGTGGCCACCCTGGCGTCCCTTGGAGAGTGTGGGGGCCGTTTTGCAGCGACGGTGCTGACCGTT